CATAGATTCAGCTAAGTCCACTACTATTGGCCATTTGATTTGCAAATGTGGTAGACTTGATAGGGACTATTGAAAAATTTGAAAAAGGGGCTGCTGAGATGGGAAAAGGGTATTTCAAGTATGCCCGGGTTCTTGGACAAACTTAAGTTTGGTATCACTTCCCTGTGGAAATTTGCAAGCAGCAAACATTATTTTACTACCATTGATGCCCCTAGACACAGTGGCATTATTAAAAATCAAAACAAAATATCATTACAGACTGTGGTGCTGGTGTTGGTGAATTTTGGTGCTGTTTTTTTTTTTCCAAGAATGGGCAAACCTGTGAGGATGCCCTCATGGCTTACACACTGTGTGAAATTGTTGATTCCACAAAGTGAATCCTATGGAGTCACACTAAAGCTGGCACCTCCATTAAGAATATTGGCCACAACCCTAATGCAGTATCATTTATGTCAATTTCTAGTTGGAATGGTGATAAAATTCTAGAACAAAGTGCCAATATGCCTAGGTTCAAAGGATAGAAAGTCACCCATAAAGATGGTGGTGTGTGGATGGTGGTGTGGGTAGAGAGCCACACTGCAGGGAGCTTTGAATTGTATCCTGGCACCAATTCAATTGCAACTGCCCTTCCAGGATGGTGGTATTGTTACTGTGCCTGTGGCCTGAGTGGAAACTGGTGTTCTCAAACTTGCCATGATGGTTACCTTTTACCCAGCCAGTGTCACAACTGAAGCAAAGTCTGTTGAAACAAACCATGAGGTTCTGAATAAAACTATTCCCGGGGACAATGTGGATGGAATGTAAATAACATGTCTGTCAAACATGTTAGATGTGGCAACATTGCTCAGATGATTGATCCATCCAGCCAAACTCACACTGCCATGCCCCTCTCATGGATTGTCGCACAGCTCACATAGCATGCAAGTCTGAGAACTTAGAGAGGAGATTGATCCCTTAGCTGGAAAATGGCCTCACTTTCTTGAAATCTGGTCAATGTGGCCATTGTTGAGATGGTCCCAGGCAAGCCCATATGTGTCTGGATCTTCTCTGACTACCCTCTCTTGGGTCATTTTGCTGTTTGTGACATGAGGGTGACATCAAAGCTGTGGACAAGAAAGCTGATAGAGCTGGAAGGTTACCAAATTGCCCAGAAAGTTCAGAAGGCTACATGCATATCATTCCTAACACTGTTTGCTCCAGTCTTTATCAGGAGTGGAGGAATGGTCTCAGAACTGTTTTCCTAAATTGGCCATCTAAGTAAGAGTAAATGGCTAGTTAAGGATCACATACATTGTCAAAACTGCAGAAGGAAAAGAGAATATTTTGTGAACCATTTATTCATGTATATAGCAGTTTTAAGTTATTAGCTTTAAAGACCAACACTTTTTGTTTTTGAGATGATTATTTAATTATATTTCTCCCTTCCTTTTCCTTCCTCCAAGTCCTTTCATATACCCATTCCACTCTCCTTCAATTTCATAGCCTCATTTTCACTAATTGTTATTGCATACATATATGTATTTGTACAAACACACACACACACACACACACACACACACACACACACACACATTCCCAATTATAACCTCTTGAGTCCATATCGTATTACTTGTATGTATATTTTCAGGGCTGACTGTTTAACACTGGACAACCATTTGGAGTTCTCTTCCCTGGGGGAAACCACCTCTCCTGCTCTCAGCTTTACTCATTTGCTTACAGTTCTTTGTGTAGGGTTGAGGCCTACTTGGCTTTTCTTCATCCAGTTTGGCATGTCCATTAGTATTATTCAGTTCACACTGGGGAGATCATATTGGTGAGACTTTACCATCATTGCTTCTGATGTTACTAGGAGATACAATCTCACAACAAACTCCATGATCCTTTGGTTCTTACGGTCTTTATGAACAACTTCTGCAGTGTTTCCAGAGCTTTAGATGTAGGAGTGTTTTGTAGATGTATCAGCTGGGACTGAGCTCCACAGTTCTGCATTTTTATTGGTTATGATATTCTGAATTGGTTTCTATTGCAAAGAGAAGTTTCTTTGATGGAGTGAAGACTACACTTACCTGTGGGTATAGGAGAAATGTTTATAGATTGTTGTTAGGGATTATGCTTGTTTAGTAACTTAGTGGTTGTAGATTATCCTCCACTAAATATGATTTCACTAGCAGTCAGTAGTTAGATTTCCAGTACTAGGCATGGTCCCACTCTTGTTGAGTGGATGTTAAGTCTAAGAAGAGAGCTGTTCCTTACTGTCAAGATAAACAACTGAATCAAACATCTATCAGAGAATTCTGAGTCATTAAAACAAGTTCCATGAGGAAAATTTGTGTGTGTGTGTTTGTGTTTCACACAGGAGCCCAGGCTGTCCTCAAACTCCTGATCCTGTTGTCTCTACCTCCCATGGGCAGAAATCATTAGCATGCACCAGGACATCCAGTTCTAAGGACACATCTGAGCTTTCCCTCTACCTGCAAACTCTAAAAATTGATAGTTGTCAATCACTTCTATCAAATACTCTCCCTTGTACTTTTGTAAATTTCCTTCAGATTTTCTAATTGCTCCTTTTTAATACTTTTGTTGAATCACATTTTAAAGGCCAAAGTTATCTCCCAACCAGCTTTTTCTGGGAGTAACATTCAATATAGTAATTCTGTTCTTATTCCTGTTATTGACTGACAGATTCCTGTCATTCAATTCTAGGCCAGTATTCTAGGTACCATTACAGACTCCTATGTCCCAGGTATGCTTTTGAAACTTTGGGAGATTTGAAGGATTGTTTTGTGTTTTGGTTTGGTCCTTGGTTTATTTTAGGGTTTAAATTGTTTTATTTTGTTTTGTGTTTTGAGTCTTATGCTGTAGCTGACTAGCCCGAACCTTGCTATGTAGATTTGGCTGGCTTTGAACTTGAACGAATCCTTCTGCCTCCACTTTTCTGATGAGTGGAATTACAAGTTTGGGCAACAGAACCCAGCTCTCTTCCATGTTTTTGTTTCTTTCAGATTCTACTGGTTACAGTCTTGTTAATATTTAAAATGGCTTTCAAATTTGAGTGTTTCTGGCGTCAGCCATTCCCCCTTGTCTAGTCAAGTTTGTCACCAGATCTTGATCTTCAAGTTATTAATTAACTAAATTTAAAGCTTTCATCTATTTTCTGATATCATGGCATAAGAGTTACATTGCTACTGGATTTAAATGCACCTTTGCTGTTCAGAAACCATTCTCCAGTCTGCCTCACCTCTAGTGTCTCACCCCCACCCCAAGTGTTCCCTCCTTTGGAAGAGGAACACCCCTTAGTCTTCCCTAGGGGCACTTTCTCAGTTGGTTTTATCTCTAACAATGTGTAGTTTTGTCTTAGGTGTTGTTTGAGACGTGTAGCTCAGGCTACTTCAAAATCACTATATAGTCAAGTATGACCTTAAACTTCTGATTCCCCTTCCTGTACTTTCTGAGTGCTGAAGTTATAGGCATGTGACAATGCTGAGTTTATTGGTACTAGGGATGAAATACAGGGCCTTGAGTATGGTAGGCAAGAACTCTACCGATTGATCTTTATCCCAGCCCTATACCGTTTTTTTTTTTTTTTTTTTTTTTTTTTTTACAAAAGGGATTTTTTTTTGTTTGTTTGTTTGGTTTAGTTTGGTTTGCTTTTTCCACAACAGGGTTTTTCTGTGTAACCCTGGCTGTCCTAGAACTAGCTCTGTATACCAGGCTGGCCTAGAACTAACAGAGGCCTGTGTCCTGAGTGCTGGAATTAAAGGAGTCCACCACCACCTGGCTTAACTAAAAAGTTTTAAAAGTAGGAAAAGCAAAGTGAAAATAGAAAATAAAAAATAGAAGAGCCTACCTGTCTTTTCACAGCTCTTTGGAGTTACCTTTATAACTACAACTGTCCATTTATTACTCCAATATAAACTCCACAGAGCCTCAGATTTTGTCTGTTGAGCAAATACTCTCTGTGTGCAAAAGATTTTCTTTGACACTCTTTGAGACAGCACAACTTTATTGCTAAGAGTGCTAGTTAATTGTTCTACAATGAAGTTTCACATTAGGATTACATAAATATGTAAGAGGGGAGGGGGAGAAAAAGAGGGAGAGAAAAGGGGAGAGGATGGAGGATCAGGGAGAAAGGGAGGGGAGAGAAGGGAGAGGAAGACTAGTCCCTTATTAGGAACTTGGGCAAGTAGCACCTTCCAGGTCTTCTTTTTTCCAGTACAACATGGGTAACACACACACACCTACCTTCAAGGCTGTCTAGAGAATTAAATGAAATTATACAAAAGGCTGTGGCACAGTACCTTATGTACACAAATAAGCTCAATAATTCGCGGTTATTTCTGGGCTTAGTGCCTAAAAAAGTGAAGAAATGGATAGATGAGAGGTGGCTGAGGTCTTTCCAAACATCCACAAATTCTGGATCCTCTGTCTCCTGTGCTAGGGAAATGCTGGCAACCTTTAACTTTCCAATCCGTTGCTTGGAAAACCAATCAGGACCCTAGGCATCTTTTCAGGGGTCATGCATCTGCCCTCAGTTCTGATCAAAACCTTCACCTTCTCCAAATCACCACAGCGCCAGACATCCATTCTTTTGTTTGGCAAATCTTGGCTGAAATCTCACATTTGGGCTCAGGACATCCTTAGGCACGCGGTTTCTGCTTAGACCATACTTTCCAAGTTCGAAGCAGGTTCTGAGATCTCCGCGGGTGTGGTCCACCTCCTATCCTTAGCTTAAGGCACCCAGGAACGTGCCTTGGACCCAGAGGCTAGGGGGTGGGGGTGTCTGGGGATGGTAGGCTTGCATCTGGGCGGAGGAATTGGGTGCCAAGAGCTTGTGACAGGCGTACTGGCTCACACTCCCTGAGCCTGGGCGCGGCCACTCGGAGCCTGATGTCCGGAGAGGAATCAGGTGCTCCTCCGGCCGCGGGCACGCGCCCCCGTCTCGGTGCCCCTCTGGCGCGTCTGCTTTGAGGCCCCAGCAATACCCCGCCCGCCGCGCGCACCCCTGACCCGGCCCCGCCCCCGGCGGCCGCGAGTAGCGGGCGGAGCAGGGAGAGGCGCGCTGGGCTGTGGGCGCCGCCTCCCTTCCGCGCAGGGGGAGGGACGAGGGGCCGCGCGGGAGACAGAGAAAGCCTGAGCGGGCGACTAGCGGAGAGCTGCATGCAACCGGTGGGAGGCCGGCCCCGCTGGCTCAGCGACTCCGGCTGGGAGCGTGGACCAGCTCGCGGCGGCGGCGGTGGTGGTAGAGGCTCTGAGCTGGCAGGCGGAGGGCTTTCTCCCGCGCCCGCCTGCCCGGCGCGGTCCGAGAATGCGGGGGGGCGATGCCCGGGGCCAGGGACGCGCTCTGTCACCAGGCGCTGCAGCTGCTGGCCGAGCTCTGTGCCCGAGGGGCCCTGGAGCACGACAGCTGCCAAGATTTCATCTACCACCTGCGGGACCGTGCCAGACCCCGACTCCGCGACCCAGGTAAGCGCCGCCTCCAGGGCGACCCAAGGGCCCTGGGATGGGGACTTGGGGCCGCGCCAGGGCCTGAGGTAGGAGAGCAACGCAGACTGGAGGAGGGCAAGGGGTGGCCGTTCAGCTCAGTGAGGTCTCCAAAAGCAGCGCACCACGGCCTCAGTTGGAACCCGGCAGAAGCTGCTGCGCGGAGGCCGAGCTAGGGTGGGCTGGGGCAGGCTTGTAGGAGCCACGCCCGCCACCTGCGCTGGGCTCCTGAGGGCGGCCCCTGAGCTCCTAGCTGCGCCCGCCACCTCATTCGCAGGCGCCCAGGAACTAGGGGAGGCCTCCGAGGCCTTGAAGCTGCAAAGGGGATCCGAGAGCCAAGGAAACTCTGGGAAGTTAGTTGGTTACAGCCTGGCTGCAGCTAATTCTTACCTGGACCTGTTCAGCTTGAGTGCCCAGTTCCTTTCCCTGCTCCCGGGTGGGAAGGGAGGGATAAGATCTTGCTTGGGGCCAGGCCCCTCAGAGCCACACATCTAAGGCAGCTGGGCCTGAACCCTTTCCCTGCATGTTGCAAGGTGTGCAGGCACTGAGACCTTAGTTCCCAATTTGTCCCGCTGCTGCAACCTTGCACACTGGAGTGGTGGGCTTGCTGGTCCTGTGGTTTGCAGCTGTCCTAGTGAAAGTTGCAAGGCACCTAACTTTGGAAAGTTCATTTAGTTTGGCATCTGACCTATTAAGATTAGAAGGCGTTTTATTTGAGCAGTTTGCTTTTTCTATCTTCCCTGAGTCTTGCCATTCATCACTGGCCACCAGAAGATACATGTTTTCTGAGCACGTTTTCAGCTTGAGAACTCATTCTCAAATGTGTTGAACTGTTAAAAATGGGATGAGAGAATGATCGTTGCCTTGATGTTCATGTGTGTTAAACATTGGTGATACTATTGCTGTGCAAACTATTAAGTACAAGTATTTCTCATTTTACGCCAGTTTATTATATAAAAATACAATTACTTAAAGAATAGAGAATTACTTGGCTGTAACGAGGAGCCAGCTCGTGTATGTAAATAGCCTACCTTTAATAAGATATTCTAAATGTGTGTGGTGAAGGAAGCTGTTAAAATTTTGTCACATTTTCCTGTAGTCAAAGGCTTTATTTTTCATGCCTGTAGGTACATTAATAAGTTTCTCAAATGATCACTAATGTTTTACTCCAAATGGGAGAATTAAGTGGAGAAATACTGGTTCCAGTGATTTCCTAGGAGGCTTGGTTATCCCCTCTATGTGTGGATGCCAATGTGCTTCGAAGACTACAGATAGGAATGGAAGTGCCTCACTCACCAATAGGAGTGTGGGGTGTTCTGTGTGTTCATATAAGGTGCAAGCCCATTATTAACACACTTTTCCCAAAGCACGTGTGAGTGCTGAGCCCTCTCTCTGTGCTAGTGCCCCTGTGTGGTAGGTTTTCCTTGTGATCTCAGACAAGCTGTCATCTTTGGCTTTACAAGAGGAAGGGAATGCAGCCTGTGTCTGAATTGGGGTTTAAATGCCACATCTTTTAGTCAGTTCTCTGTCCCTTCCCTTTAATTCAGGGGCTGCTTCTCATGTGCCCAGGTTCTCCCAGTTCCCACACTGGGTGGACCTGGAGGAAGTGTCCCAAGGAATACTACTCACAAGCTGAATTCTGGCTCCTTGGTTGGGGAATTGTTTTTCTGAGAGACTGCCTTGCTGTTCCCTGACTTCTTGAAAGCAGGGCGCTGCTTAAACTAGGGCACATGGTTTTGATGTAGCTCCTGCCCCTCTGGCTCCTTCCATCATGTCAGGAACTAGCCTGCAAGTGAAAGGTAGGAGGAAATACAGCTGAAGATGGCATTCAACATGCTACCCTCTCCCTTAAGGCACCTGCTTAATTCAGATCTCCCTGTTTCCCTCCCTTCCTTATCTTGTTCACAGTAATTCATAGGTATATCACATGCATGGATTTATGTCTGTTCCTCTGAAGCTCTTTGGCCAAGCCAAGTGCTTCCTTATCTCTGAGTCCTAAGAGCTGAGTGGCTAGAAAGGCCACATTGCACAATGCTAAGCAGATAGTGTCTCTGCTATTGGCTACTGTCACCCAACAACCATGTACAGCTGCCCTGATAGTCCCCAGAGAGGCCTCTCTGTAAATGGGTGACTTTGTTCTTTGAAAGAATCTACCCAAATGCCATGTTCCAGCCTCCTATGTCTGATGCCTGCCCATGGCTACCCCATTGTAACTATTTTCCCAGGCTCCATTAAAGATTTCAGTTATAAAAGGAGAAAACAAGTTATTTGCTGTGGAGTAACTTCACATCTAGGATGCTTTCCCCCCTTTTCTGAGAGGAGGTAAGGCTGGTTCTCAAGCCAGTGTACTTGAGGCAAAAGGAAGAACTTGTGGGAAGGTTCTGAGGGAGGAGCATTGTTGCTATGATTCAAGAAACACTGACTTCGAGGGTGGCTGGAAGTGGAGCATGGTAACAAATCTGGTCAAGGGTTGCATAGGTCAGATCATGTAGGGTCTTGTAAACTTGTAAACTGCTTTTTACTCTGAATGAGATATGAACATTAGAAGTTCTTAGAGAAGTGGCAGGCAGACTGCCGTGCTGAGAAAATACTGTAGGGGAGCAAGAGTGAAGACAGATGTGTTAGTGATCTGTTTCAGAAATTCAGGAAGAGGTGCAAGTTCAGCATGGTCTTAATGGAGGCACTGAGATGTAACCATTATGGACCACTTTGAAGGCACCACGGCTAATATTTGTTGACAGGAGGTATTAGGAGGATGGAAAGAGCTGAGGATTATTCACAAGCCCTCTGACCTAAGCAACTCCATTTACCTAGCAGCAGGTTTCAGGAAGAGGCATAGGGAGGAAAAGCAGGGAGATTCTCTTTGGTGTCTAGCTTTTTGTACATAACTGAGTGTGCCATGCCTCTTTAGTTAAGACAAGCTGTCCTGCAGCTGATGGTCCTTAACATTACCATTGGTCCATGCTCAGTTTGTAACTGGAGGCTTTACTGCCAAGAGGCTGGCTAGTGAAGTGCATTTACTGTTTTGAAGGCTTTCCTTTCTAGGGAATTGAAAACTCTCTGAGCTTCTCCTCATTGAGCTATTGTCACACTATAGATTGAACTCAGGGCCTCTTCTCCACCACTGAGCTACACACCCAGCCTTCATTGATCTTTAATCTCTCTCTCTCTCTCTCTCTCTCTCTCTCTCTCTCTCTCTCTCTCTCTCTCTCTCCTTTTTTTTTTATATTCTGTATCTTTGACTGTTAGGAGGGAAGGGATCAGAGCTCTGTGCCCATTGTTTCTACAGGCAGGATGCTGGGATGCACTTCCTAGTTTCAGACATGTTGTATAATTGTCCTTGTCTCTGCTCTGTGGGACACTGATGGGCTGGCTACAGGGATGCCTCATGTAAGGCAGTTCACTTGGTCCTCTTAACAGTCTTCTGAGATATGGCTTCTCAAAGCATTTGTTGTGTGCCAGAAGCATCTGGATACTTGTAAGACATAAGATCCCAGGCCTGCTTCACCTTACCAAGTCTGCACCTTTGCTTTCGTTGGATCCTCGATTCAAGTTCAAGAAGCATAGTCAAAATGGTTAGCATATATAGGGGAAATACAATGCAGAAACAAGCTAACCCATGGCCATGCTCTTCACTTACAGAAAGAGTTGGACTTAAGTCAAAGTAGCATATTAATCAGTCATGTCACATTTGTAGTTGTCCCTCAGTATCTAAAGGACTTTGGTTCAGGGCTCCTATGGTGCTAAAATATGAGGGTGTCCAGCCTTTCATGCAAAAATGATTTAATCTTTGCATGTGACCTATGAACTCCTCCCATGAACTCCAAATAATCTGTTCATTTTCATACCTAAGAATGTAAATGGCTTGTCAGTTGTTATTGTGTTATTTGCAGACTAATGGAAAGAAAGAAGTCTGTCCATGGTCAGTACAGATGCACCCTGCCCCCCCCAAACATTTTTGCTCTACAGTTTTTAAATCCATGGATGTGGAGATCTTTGGCACAGGGAGATGACTGAATTCAGAGTTCATCAGTCATTTTCAGTGGATGCCTTAAAGTACTTCCTAACAGCCATCCTTAGACCTGCTTTGTCTAATCTCAAAGTGTATAGTGGATTAAATTCCCTGAGTGTAGGTTAAATTGGGTGTAGTTAGAGTCGCCTTACTATTTTGGTTATGAGTTCTTTATCTGATGTCAGTTTTCCATTCCTGTTCTGCTGTCATGTTCTGATTTTTTGCATATTTCCTTCATCTGTACCAAAGAAACAGCTAGAAAATGTTTGTTTATTATTAGCTCAGGTGTGAAGCAGAGCTTCAATGTCATATTATCAGTGATCCTTCCTTCCAGTGAAATACCACTATATTATGGTTTTATACTTTTGTTACATATTAGAAATACTTAAGGGCTCTGACAGAATGGAAAATAACAACAAAAACCTAACAATGACTGGGCTGCGTCATAGATCAATCAGTTAAACTGAAGTCCCATGGGTGGTGGTACCTGGGATCCATATAGAATATTCCGTATATTTCTTGGTTGATTTTGTCTTAAGGTCAGGTAGAAGACAACTCTTGTGACAATAGGTGAAGGTAAACTCCACCTAACTCTTCTTAGCTTATCTTTCCTTACTGCAAAAGTATGGAAAAATTATTTAAAAACCTAGGAGAAATTGACTGTTGCTTTTGCATAGCTAGTATCCATATCAGCTGATCCATAACTTTTGACAGTATTTTGCCAAATTTTTTTCTCGAGGACTTTTAATAAGTGTTACAAGACTTTATCATGTCCATCCTCTGTTAAGATAAAAAATACGTTAAGAACGAAATGTGATAGCGTATATCCTGTATTTGCAATCCCAGCACTTGGTAGCTGGGAACAGCAGAACAAGAGTTCCAGGCTTCAGTTACATAGTCAGTTGGAGGCCAGCCTGGGCGGCACGAGACCCTGTCTTGAGATCAGAGAAACAGAATGTAGGACTTTCAC